ACTTCTCCTAACGTCAGTCGTGTATTCTTAAAAGCATGTGTGAACTATAACAATGTTTATCTAATACGAGTACTGTACTACTACTAGCATTGGGGTATCTATTAGTAATACCTTGTAGATCTACCAAGAGTACATAACCTAGTTATGTACTCTTGGTTGTACAATCATGTACCTAGCAGGCGAGGCTCATGTACATGTAGATCTACGTACCAACGTGAGAGAGAGAAGAATTATTAATGATTTGTGCAACAATCTATCATGTTCTGCAACACACGACTCGGACTGTTGGTGTACTTACTTCTAATCGTCCACAGCCTACACCTTCTTCGTACCCTCGTGTGACGGAGAGAAGGCAATGGGCAATGGATGTGTTCGATAGTTGTTCTTCCGCGGTGCGTCATAGTAATACGTGTCTTCATCCGGTGGCTTGGCGCACCCAGGCCAGACGTAGCAGTTTTTTTATTCAGGAATCTTTGACTGATGCCGTGACGTCGAGTATACCAAATGACTATTCGGCGGTCGTAGAGGCTAGACTGCATACAGCCATGGTGCAGCCTGCGTTGGAGAAACTGGTAACCACGATCTTTTAAAATGTTATCTGGTTACTGGGCGCGTGACCGTAACACCAAGGGGATGGTATTCGTTTTCCTGGTGGAGTTCGCACTGGCTGCCCACCACGCGCTCTGTGACGGAAATTGCAGCACTTACACCGCCATTGGCACTGCTCTAAACTGTTGCTCGTCTGCATGAAGCGTTGGAGGTGTGAGGATGTATGGTACGAATCGGTTTGGGAAGTAGAACGGGGCCAAAGTCGTGCTAGTGCTGTGCACTACAGAGCATAAAGAGCTGAATCTGGTAGATGTGTGTGCAGTGTTAGTTTATGCAAAGCAGTGTAGTAGTAGGAAGTTCACTTGATTGCTGGATATACCGAAGCTAGGACGTAAGCCAAGGTTGCGGTCCGTCACATGGCTGTTGAAATGTCCAAGTCAGCGATGCGTATTACATGACTGTATTACTCGTTCCTTGTACAGCATAGCATGGGCAACAGGCCCAAAGACTGCGGCCCTTTTTTAATCAAATATACTGGCAAACTGTATGGCAGAGTAGAGGTAGAGAGAGGCCCAAGGTCCAAAGTGGCGGTCCAAATCGGGTCGAAGAAAGTGAAATGACTGATGCATATAATCCAACTGTCCAAGTCATACATTCAGATACTGACTCTGTGAGCTTAGTTTCAGCCCTTTAGCTTTGGTGCTGATGAATCGGTGGTTGGTAAGCTACAACGTACGTAACGAGAGACAATGACAATGTAACAGCAGTACATACAGTGTACATACAGGGCTCGTTGGGTAAGAACCCCAGGCTCTGTTGGACTTGTACTTGGTGGCGTGACGTGCATAAAGGGGCTATATTGGCACTTTAAACAGATTCCATTACAGTGTACGGCATACAATGCATAGTAACATTGATGTTTGACTTGGGGTGGACAGCACTCAGCTCTGTGTGTGAGGGGTGACAGTGATACATGGTTAGTGATGGCGGTTTGGAATGACGGTGTGTTACCGCGACTGGGTAACTGATGTCAGCCACGTTTGCTGAAAGGTGGTGATACATGTACATCTTGGCAGTTGGAGCGTACACACGTACTTCCCTTCTTTAATTTTATAATCCTCCAGCATCATGACTGCATGGCAGAAGTGTATCAGTAATACTAGACAGCTGTGAGAACGCATGGACATGTACTGTATACATGTAGGTGGCACCGAGCATCGAGGAATTTGTAGCAATGTCCACACACAAACTTTTTCATAGACCATACAGTGGTTGTTTGAAATCTTTGTTCTTACGATGGCCAATAAGAGATTGTTTCAAATCTTTATTCTCACGATAGCCAGTTGTTGTTGCTGTTGTTGTCGTCGTTGTTGTTGTTGTTGTTGTTGTTGTTGTTGTTGTTGTTGTTGTTGTTGTTGTTGTTGTTGTTGTTGTTGTTGTTGTTGTTGTTGTTGTTGTTGTTGTTGTTGTTGTTGTTGTTGTTGTTGTTGTTGTTGTTGTTGTTGTTGTTGTTGTTGTTGTTGTTGTTGTTGTTGTCGAATACCCTAAAAACCACTCAATGCTTGGTAGTTGAGCGAGATTGAGGTTTTGCAAACAGGTGGCAGCAGCCTTGTCAGACACTTTGTTCGCTTTCAACAACTCGACTGAGAAGGTGGTAGCCACAAACTTCAGGAATGTTTGTAGCAGCAAGCTGTCAACATGAGACCGTTTCCACACTTTGCCCAGAACTCGACTCTTTACTGGAGAAATACACTCGTCAACCGTTTTGTTTGCTGGCAGATACTTATTCACAGGCACGACGGGTTGCGAACTTGCCTGGTGTGTAAATACCACTAAGTTGTAGACACCGCTCCCCGCTTGTTGCACAGCCCACAGTGACATTTCCCCATGTCTACACCTCGAGCATGCAGCCCCTAACAATGGTTTCTTCTTGTTTCATATGTTGCGTCGGTTAGTTTTTGGCGAGCGGGGAACAAGGAAAACATGCTTTCGTGTAACACTTTTTGGTGTTTGCCACTGGCAGATACGCATCTACGCCTGTCCACGTGTCCATGTAGCTAGATAAACGATGTACACGACTACATGTAACTATTGGTGGAATGGCTAGCAAACGCGCAATGCGGACGCACTGCATGCTATACTACGTACATTGTACAAGCAGACACAGAATGCAGGCGAGCCACTCGTGTCATATTATCTCAGCATCGCTTAGGTATAATGGTTGTACCATGGCCGCGGTATGTTTGTACCATGCTCGCGCCGAAATTGCTTCGTGCAGACATCCCTTCATTTTCACCCAACGAAATTCCCTTTTCCATGCTCATGTGCTGACAGATATATCGGATCACTGTGAGAAATACGGTTACGCTGTGCGGGACTTTGAGCTTTGACCACAGGCTCCATCCAGTATGGTGCAAGCACTATTCATTCTCCGTGCGACAATGATGGGGTGATTGGAAGGAGCGCTATGAAAACAAGTGGCGTCACTGCGCTTCGCACTCTTCACCATCGACCTCTGTGGCTTGAGGGTGTGGCCACGAAAATAGCTCATTGCTGCGACACCGACCTTAGACTTGGGACGACAAAACCTCGCTTCATGATTATACCGATCTCTGTCACTGCGACTCGAGACGACTGTGTAACGCCACAAAGGTGTACCTCACGAAAGTGATACTGCTTATACTGTCTTGGCCTCAATCACATAAACACACACACGTGCCTCAGTGATTATGTCCGCGGAAGTCAAATTCTGTTCCATTCGAATTCAAGGAGATTCAGCGTTCTCCGCGGCTAGTACGACCACTGCGGTATCATACAACCGTCCTAGAAGCACATACACAAGACAGCATGGTACTGAACAGCCAGCTCATCGTTAGTGGACAAGAGAGTACCGTGTGTACACGAGTCGCCGCTTGTACCCCACATTAACGTTGTCTAAACGCTTGAGATCAGGCCGGCTGCCGTCCATGTAAGCCCAGCATTTAACACCTACTCGCACTCACAGCGGCTCAGCAGAAGAAGCAGTAGCAGCAGCAGCCCTAGCTCTCTCTCTCGTTCGTTCATAGTAACACGGATCTCGAAGAGGAACGGTGTACGTTGTACCAGGCTTCTTAATCCCATTCTCCTACACCACACTGGTGCATAGCTGCGAGTTACTGCGTATCTCCAACGGCGGCGAAGTAAGAGCGAGAACAAGCAAGACGCCGAGGAATACCAGCAGATTGATGTCCTGGGCGATGCGTCAGGCGATTACAGATTGCAGTGCAGTGCGAATGCAGTTTTGAGCGTAACCTTAGCTACCGCTATTTCCAGCATTCCCTGATGATCGCGTGCGTGTGTATGTGCGTGTGTGCGGTGTGTGTGTGTGTATGTGTGTGTGTACGTGTGTGCGTGTATGCGTGCTGTCCGTTTTGCAACTTCTGTGCCATAACGGTGGTATTGTACTTGTACCAGACAGTGGTGCGACACCGTACACAGTACCGAGTACTTGACAGGGTTGGAGGGTATAGTGCGCGAAGAGTACTAATGTCGTGATACGCATCACATCCCAATCACTGACAGGACAGTTGAGCAAGTCTAGTTGGTCTGGCTGGGGCAACTGGGGTGGCTGGCAGCTAGGGCATTGCACAGCACTCGCGGGGACCAGAGAGCAACGTTTTTAGCTACTTCTCTTCACTCCTGGCTATGTGGCTGGCCGAAAGTCATTTGTCAGTCGGGCGGCCATTCGACACACAATTCTGATTGCGGGCTAGATGGACACGTCTCAAAGAGGACACCTTTGCACCTTGCATCATCCTAGATCTTGTACCTTGTACTGCTGCGCAGGCGCATTCCTAGGCCCGTGTGTACGTACCATCCCTTACCATCCCTTCCACAGCTAGCTACTTCAGCAGTCCAAGTACAAGTAATAGATGATTGTGCTGATTCAGCGCATACCGTCATGGTCAATGTCACTATAGTGTTACCCAGCACACTCTGAATACAGTACGCATGCCTACAGACAACCACAATGGCGCTCACAAAGGCGTAGCCAGCACATTAGGCATCAAAATTAATGGTGCCTTACGTATCCAGATCTTGACAGGACGGGCCAAATGCTCTGCTCGCTATTCGCTACTTGTAGTACAGACTGTGTAGCCTTGGGCTTGCGGGGCGCGATCGACCCATCACGGGACGGGTTGCTGTCAATCTCTCCAGAGGTAGGCGGTCACGTGTCTCACCATCGTGATCAGTCAAAGAAGTCGTGGCCAGTGTCTCGTTTCCTGTGGCCAAAACGAGCCTATCATGAAGGTAACGTCACTCTCATCTTGTCTGCATGCCTGGCGGCTAAGCACTGGCAGTGGCACTTTGCACGGAGCTGTTGCACCAATGCTTCTAGCGGGTTGTGTCCGCAGGATTGCCACCTTCGCGTGAACGACGTGTTGATCCTTCTGCGCAGAAATTCACCGGGTATGGACACTGCTGCGCACGTAACAATCCCCCAGGCTCAGCCCGCAGCCAGTCTCCTTTTTAATCACAATTGCCCAAGGTCTTCTCGCCCGCCTTGCTCACTGGTCAGACCAGGAAGCTGCTGCCAGTGCTACTGGGCTGCTGTCTGTATGAACGTTCAGGCTCGCGGAGTGGAGACTTGGCCATGGGGGTCGTCGACTGACCATCCGTGGTTAACGTTACCTGCTTGCCTGCCTGCTTCTGCCTATCTGTCAGTTCTACCACCAGAATCAGCATCAGTCCAGCAGCACTATGCCACCAGATCTCCGCATAATCCAACATCATTACCCAAGTCTAAGTAGCAGCAGCAGCAGCATCAGTAGCTGGATCATACCCCTCATGATCCTCATCATCGTCGACATCGTCATCATCAGTAGCACCAGCCACGTAAAGCGGCAGGAAATCACCACCAACCCTCTGCCTGTCTCTGGTCAGCTGCAGGCTCGTCACTCTATTGGCGAGATAGTCGGCAGCCGACAGACAGAAGAAAAACCAGTCACCTTCTTCCACTCTGGCCAGTCTTGTAGAATTTGTCTAGTGTCTGACAATGTTCGGATGAGTCCGTCATAGCGTCTGATGCTCAGAGTTTTTTATTCCACCTACCCGAAAGCCCGGCAGAGTCAATACCGAAAAGGGATTAATTTCGTGCGGATACGTCTACGTTTGTTCTGTCTCTGGATATGATGGCTAATGGTCAAGATGGCCTTCACTGCTATCCCAGTGCCTCGCACTACTCAAAGCCGCCGTCTGGTGGTGCCCATGGCCAACCTCCCCCAGCCCAACCTGCAACCTGGCTGAATGTTCCCTGTGTTCCCACCAAACCTTGGCCCCCACCGGAGGCCAGTCCGTCGGTGTTCGAGGCGCGCCTCATCATTCCACCCACGGCTGCCATCTCTGCAGCTCCATTCCCGACTCCCACTGCCTCCACCTATGCCCAATGTAATAATAATTCCCACCATCATCATCAAAGCCCAGTGGCACAGCCAGTAACACCGGTGCAAGCTGCACCCTATGTGTCGGAATATCGAACTCTGCAGAACAGTCCCGACGGCAGAGGCTTCGCTGCCACCACGTTCCTGCGTGTCATCAGCGCTCCGGGAGTGCAAAATGGCAGCTCCACGGACCAGCAACACCATAGTGCGGACGCGACGGAGCAGAACAACCGCCTGCGTTCGTCCTCCTCTTCACTATCGACGCTTCATCGACGTTCGGACGGAGCTGGATCGGTGTCGGCAGCGGCAGTAGGTGGAATGCCTTGGCCCAACGAATCGTCCGCTGTAGCTTCGGGAAGCGTTGGTGGACATGCCGTGGTAGCAGTGGACGGCAGCAGTGGAAGAGCTGTCAATGCTGGAGGTACAGGTGCTAACATCATGAGAAGCAGCACTTCTCGTTATACCGTCGACAACGACGTACACGCATCGGCAGCAAGACGCGATAGCAGCCAGTCATCATGTGGGGGTGCAACTCCTGGAGGTGGTGGTGCTGCTGCTGGTTCTGCTGGTGTATTGTATCCAGGTGAATCTCACTCGAGTCGAGGCACAAATGGTCTAAGCGACGGACGCAAGCAAGTCCAATTCGTCAACTACAGCACGGTAAGCAAAGCGTTGATGCCCCCGGCTATATTGTTTTCGTCATGCACAGACACTGAGACTGTGTTCTGCTTTTCAGATATCATAATGTGTGACCATGCAAGTGAGTGCGCCATGGTGTGACAATGTCGGAAACACGCTGGACTTGGCGGCCGTTACTTTCGACACAGTCTTCGAGCCCTGCCGGGGCGCAAACGGGAGTAACAGATTTGTAGTGACAAAGTCTTTACAAACGACGTGCTGAGCTGTGAGCGTGTGGTGAAAACCGCGTTGCGATTGGCAGCACGTCGCAACTAAACTAGGAAATAGGCGAAACTCGACCGGTGCACAGCGCACTGTCTTCATCGCCCCCTGTTAGGCGATAGCACCGAGGACACGGCTTGAGGTTTGTTTCGTGTCCCGAAATAGGTTATGCCACAGACCTAAAGAACGACGAGGGCTGAAAGCAGCTGATACATTGCCGAAAGGAATGCTGTCTACAGCCAAGCACAGGACGGAGAGAGCTCCAATGTTCGATCTTGTCTCAAGCTCACACTTGCACGTTTTACACGGCGACAAGAAGAGGTAAGAAGTGCACGTATGAACGCGTTCAAACATTGTACTTCGTCATAAAACTGAGCTGCAGGCTTCGGCATCGTGCTCATTTCCTCAAATTTCGCCAAGGATCGTCGAACGATAGATCCGTGCGAGGAGGATACCATCGCTTGTTCAAAGGTTGTGTCCTGAGGATATGCTGGCAGACTTGACTTCGCGTCAGCCAGGGGCGTCTAGGTGGGGAGAGTTTCCCGTCGTCTGTTGTGTTATGCAGATGCCAGCAAGGCACGCCAGTGCGGATGGGGTATCTCCACTGATACTGGCAAGCCCTAGACCAACAGCGAAGGTAATGCTCGAGCTGGGAATAGGTACTGGTGACAGGGGAAACAGGGAACTTACAAACTGTACTGTAGCTATGTTGCACTCACAAGGTACTAGACCAGTGAACATCACTTCATACACACACCACACACACACCATACACTGGGTGACTGCAAGGTATGATACTGGTCATGAAGCAGCCAAACACACGCACACGACGGAAGTATGACCAACATACACACGTCGTCCGCTGAATTCGGTACAGGTCGACACTTGTGCCTGTTAACCGACCTGTCATTGTGCACCAGGTACTGCGGGTGAGATGAACAGCCTCCAAGGTAAACCATACACTCCTTTTGCTCCGTCTTTCCAACAGTGGTACAGCGTTGATCGTCATTACAGCTTGTCCAGCTCCAGCCACCGCAGCCATTGCCACAAAGTGCTCCTACACGATGAAGGAGAAGATGAATAAGGCAAAGTGAGAGTACATAGTACATCATGGACTAGTTGAGCAGTGTTGTTGACGGCCGACACTCGGTGATTTACAGGAAGCTGACCCTGGACAGACCCCACCCCAGACCAATTCATACGATTACTATATTCTGTGCGTGCCGTGCTCCGTTTATGTGTATTCGCTTATTCACAAATGATGAGATTAGTGAGTTTGTCTTGCGGCTTCGTATCGGGTCGCCACCTATCTGGATGCTTTGCTATCAAGCCATGTCGTATAGCAGGTCCAATCAAGAGAAGAGAAGAGGAGAGGAGGGACAATCTGGCTATGTCCTTGTATGATCATGTCCTTGTTACAGTTCTTGTTGAGTCGGTGCTCGTGTGGGCACACCAACACCCTTGCGTGTGCACACAAAACAACGTTGAAGTGAACCTGATGGTACGGCCGACATCATCCTCGGAGGCGTTGCATAATCCACTCCTCTACCATCCACTCCTCTACCATCCACTCCTCTACCATCCACTCCTCTATCATCCACTCCTCTATCATCCACGCCTCTACCATCCAATGCTCTTAATCCACGCTACAGTCCATTTCAAAACTATAGACGCGTACCTAGGCAAAAACCGGTATGCCAGCATCTATACCACATAAAATCTGTGATCACTTTGTGCATAATTTTTTCCAAATTGGGCGTCTGTTATCCAATCATTTAGAAACTTTATGAGAGTAATTGTGGAGCGGACCTGAGCAATATTCCGAAAACTATTCTCAAAACGTTCCAGCCAAATTTGAAATATTTCAAAAACCCTACGCGTCTATAGTTTTGAAATGGACTGTACATGGTGCACTGCAGCAGTACATGGGTATACCGTGTTTGCCATTGTCATTAAGTCTGGATATCACCTGCTTCCATAGGTTCCATGTTCGTTGTCTTTGACCAAAGCAGCACAACACTGTGCCGTGGTCCTTTCCTTGAATGTTTGGCCACTCTTTTCGAAATCAAGTTCACCAATGTATTATGTATGGTGTGACTTGCCAGCAACACCTGTTTTCCCTACACTCGAAACATTGCACGTATGTAGTCACAGACGAGACTCTCACTAGTCACTAGTCCAGCACACCAGTACATAACCGGGCCGAAAAGACCTCCATTATCATGCTGGATTACCCGTTCAGAGAGATATGAAAATATAAAACCATGTACTAGCCCTCCCAGCCCCCCCCCCCCCCCTCCCCTCATTCCATTCAATCTGGCTATAACTCTAGTGTTACATGTATAGCATGGACGGTTGTGATTCCTGTCTAAGTATTTATGTGCGGCCCATGGCTGATCTAGGTTGTGTTCTACTACTTCTATGTGCCGTGCTTTGCAGCTTCTGTCACCGAACAGTGTTCTCGAGACGGGCAGCAGCATGCGTGACAACGATGTCAGTGTACATCCCAATAGCAGCAGCGGTGGTAGAGGCGGTCATGATATGACATCATCATCGCGGCACAGCCACCACACACACCATAGCCACCATTCGGTGACGACAGTGGGAGCTGCTCATCAGGATCGCGGGTATCACCATACTTCCGCTTCTTCTGCCTCCTATCACACAATGTCCGGATATGGATCAGAGTGAGTGTTAGAGCAGGATTCATTGGTATTCCTTACAATCGGCTTTCAAGTAAAAGAACCAGTCTTTTCCCTTGCGTCGTCCAAATGTCCAAAGTCGAAGCTATCCATGTACTGACAAGGCTGTCCTTCTTGACATGACCAACTTACACTCAAGGAGGAAGCAGGAGGATATCATCGCAGCCAGCTTCACACTTGTTGGATGGATCTCAGAGGGTTGGAGTCTGGAAAGACTTAGTTCATGCTCACTCTGAGACTGAACTGTACCTCTCGTAATATGCAATGGCTTGGCCGGTGTTCTCTCTCTCTCTCTCTCTCTCTCTCTCTCCTTCTCTCTTTCCTTCTTTCTGGGATGGGCACAATCAGAGAGGTATCACCATCTGCCCTGCACTAAGTGTTATTGTCGCTGTTGTCCTGTTTCCCAGTGGCGGAGCTGCGGGTGACGCACGTTTGCTACCTGTTCGGGTACGGCGTGTTAGGACAAAGATCCTACGCCAGTGGATGATAGACAACAAGAATCATCCGTACCCTAGCCGAGAGGAGAAGGAGTACCTGGCATCGCAGTGCGATATGACTGTTGTACAGGTCAGTACAAGCAAGACATGCTCTAAAAGGTTTAGAGTAATTAAACAACAGAATCTGATTGAAGAAACAAACAGTAGTAGCTACGCCATGTTGGTCTCGGAATGCTTTGGCTGAACGGCGTGTGTCCGTGTTCATGCAGCACGTGTATGTACATGTGCGTGTGTGTGCGTGTATGGGGGGGGGGAGGGGGAAGGGGGGAGGGGGAAGGGGGGAGGGGGGGTGGGAGGGGGGGGGGATCGAATATATTGAACCCTACCGTACTAGGAGTTGATACTTTATGCACGTGTTAAAGCAAATGAAAGTACAAGAGCCATACCCCCCCCCCCCCCCCCCCCCTTCTCAAGCAACCAACCGAAAATTGGAGCCAAAGAAGTACGTAACCAAGCTTGCTTTGGACGTCGTGATGGCTGAATCTTGCCTAAGGATGCACGTCGAGGGATATTTTTAAGGGATAGATCAACCATTATGACCAACGCAGAGCGTGGTTGATCGTATTTCTTATAATCTACCCCTCATAAAGTCAGACTGTCCAACCTTGCCACCTTTCCAAAGCAGGACACCTATATAAAATATATACAAAGGCAATTGTCTCCCATGTAAATAAATGTACACAAATGATTTGGTCCAAAGCAGGACGGTTGGACAGCCTATAAAGTGCAATATTTCTCACTGAGTAGTGTAGTGTAGTGCAAACTCGAGCCGTACCACGAAAAGTAACTTAGCAGAACTGTTGGTAGGAAGCATTCAACATCAGCGACAAATACCCAAACCTCGCTGACATAATCATTCGTAACATGGAAACTGTGGGCACAAGTCATGCGATCGAGTCCACCAACTAAACCAGGTTTTGAAATTTCCATGTTACAATTGTTTTCCTCGGCTCACCATCTGAGTTCTTAGGACATACATGTAATCATTGGTTGTACATTGTAGCTTCCACATGTGTGCACTGGTGTCTGGAGTATATTGGTACCGTGTTGCGCACGCAAAATCACTTGTACCGTACCTGTATGTGGAAATCCTGGGTGTGCTGCACAGTTTGTTTGTTTGTGTTACCTTCACATAGTGGTCTTACGTAACCATGCCACCCACTCCACTACCTTTTTATGACAATTCATGATGTCATACTGACACCATCATGATGTCATAGGACACCATCATGATGTCATAGGACACCATCCCACTCTTACAGTGCTAGGTTAGATTAGGCTCTTGGTAGATACAGCAGCACACGTGTAATTCCATTGTCACACTAATGCAGCTCTATGTAGTGTAAAGGGATCATGAGTATGGCGTACTACAGCAGTGACATAATTATACTCAGCTGACACATACTGTTGCTAATTAATGTTTAGAATCTATCTCTGGGTGTGTGCATGTATGTTGATTCATACTGATATGGCGGGGTGTGTATGTTGATTCACGTGGGATATGGCAGGGTGTGTATGTTGATCCACGTGGGATATGGTATGTGTGTATGTTGATCTATGTGGATATGTATTATGTCTATGTATTATGTCCTGCGTATGTTTTGATTCACCTGTACATGCTACACTGCATCTTGGCTGCCGTCTCTCAGGTCTCCACTTGGTTTGCTAATAGTCGTCGGCGCATTCAGCGTATCGGTCTGCAAGGCTGGGTCAACGACCAAGTCAGAGAGGATGAAAAGCTTCATAAAGGTATGTACACGATCCTGGGCTGTGTCACACACCCAAACACCAGGGCAACAATAGGGCCATAGTAATACAGTGCACATTGTAGTATTGGCATACATGTAATGCCACAAGCTGGAGTTCATGTGTTACGGGTGCCCATGGGCTGATGAATGGTGCATTCGCTGAATCCATGTGCACATGTTCCTCTGTAGCTCTGTACAAAAGCACACACTAGGATGTGTGCTTTCACCCAGTGTCCGGCATGGATGCAGCGACTAAACATTTGATTACGATGATGTACGATGTAGATCAAAATGGCACCGGACACTGTATAACATTGCTATGTGGTGGGCTGGTAAACAAGGTTCTCTGCAGTCAATCGTCTTCACATCAGGTATCAATGTCATGTTGGTATGTGCACTGTAGTGCTTACATAGCCTAGACATCTATTTATAATTACACTCTTCAGTATTGTTTTCCCCGGGTTGAGGCATCCAGTACCTCCCCCCATTGCAGTGATTTCATTGAGTTTGCCGGGGAGTAACATGGTACAGTACACACTACCGATGGTGAGTGGTATCCACGCACACTGCGGGAGTACTGCACCTAATACCTGAAATTGTGCACACAGCTGGAGCAAATCATGTTCCATTATAATAATGCCGAGCCCTGCTAAGCAATGGCTAGATCTTCCCTGTCATCATGCAATGCTTGTACAAGGTACTATCATCAAAGGCTCTTCATGGCCCGGCACTTCAATCTGAATGGTAGCTGGAGAGGGTGGCTTATCAGAATGAAGTTAATGGTGGGAGTTCGACGTTGCTTAGCTCACGCATGTCACATTCTTGAAACCTGGATGCACGGAGGGCATCATAAAAGATCTGGCCAATGTGTGCTATACATGCACAGTAGGTGGTAACATTACAGAGTTATTATTTCTTGCGTGGTGTTGGGCTCTTGCCTGCATTGGACAAGGACTTGTGTGTACAATTTGGCCCCCTGGCTGGGGTAATTAACCTCATTAGTTTGTGAAGTGTACAGAGAAAGAGGTCTTCTCTGCTGTATGAAGCATAATATTAATGCCAGAGTCTTTGTGGGGCAGCTGGGGCAGCTGGGGCAGCTAGAGGGACGTGAGCTGAAAGTGCCCTGACATGATCTGCATGGAGTAGGAGGCTCTGACTCCTGAGTGACACATTGAATGTGCCTGTAGGTGTGATGCATGCAGCCATCTGGCTGTGTGGGAGTTAACAATGCCATTGTTAGTTACCTGAGCCATACTGAATTGGTTGACTTTCTCCTTTCTGGGGAGTGAATGGCTTACTGGGAGTGGACCTGGGGGCCTCCCTGAACCCTGCTGGCCACTCTGTACATGTATGCCTAGTAACCTGGTTGTGCACAGAGCTAATAATTATTGTGCAAGAAGTCATGATACAGCGAAGATGCCATTCTCCTGTCTGTGCCAATGCAATAGCATAACACTTCCAGCGCATCTACCTTGTACATTGTACATTGTCCGTCAAGAATGTAGTTCATTGAAGCTCCTCTCCACCCAATGCATGGCCCGATGCATGGACACAATCATCGCGTGTGGGTCAGCAATTGCCGGGGGACCTGTCTTTCACACTGTCCATTTGAACTCTCCTGGAATCTTGCGCAAGGCTGCGAGCAGATAGATCAGTATGCTTTGAGCACTTGTATTCATTTCTGAACGTATTCTGCACACTGCATTTTTATGTTTCTTTCCAGACAAACAGCCCACATGGTCTTAGTCAATAAGGAATGCTCAGCGCTCTGAGAAGAATCGTTCCGCGGAGTGATACCATCCCGCTCGGACATGCCAGACATTTATTGGCAGTCCAGCAGTTCTGAGGAAGATCACGTTCATCTTGCCCAGAGATGAGTAGTTCCCCTTGTGGCCTGGGTGAGCGCACACCTCATATCTCCACATTGCTACATCAGATGACAATCATGGACAGGCATGTTGATGAAGCTGATAAATCCATTCTGTCACTCAGCCATTCTGATAGCACGTTCTGGAAAGGGTTAACTGGTGCCCAAACTCTGCACCACAGTACGATGCCACAACATATTCAACATGTTTTTCACGCCAAGGACACTCTGGATGTTGGTCAATGCATCGGTATAAATGTATAGATATTATATTTTAGCTCCCTCCAATTGATATTATTTTGAAGATGTTATTATCCACCCACCAACTGACAGTGCCCATGGCCAATGAGTGGTAGGGAATATAGTAAATTATAATGTACCGTACCCTTCAACCCAACAACTACAACTACATGTACATGTACATGTACATGCTTGGAAACTAGCATATGTACAACATGTACATTGTACACCAAGTTTGATCGCACTTTTATTGCCATCACGTTCAGAGTATCGATGTGGATGAGTTATTATAAACTCCCAGATGCTCGCACGGCATGTTATGATAATTAAGCAAAACATGCCCTTGATCATGTACATGTACACGTGTGTCCTGTGATGTTGAAACTCAGTAAGATGGTTGAACCACATTGTGGAGCAGCTGTCATAAGCACTCCGCAAAGCCTATACTTTTCAAGAGGCCTGGAATTGCCATGTTCCGCACTTGACGTGTTTGGCTTTTGACGCCCTCCTTTCCCTTGGTGCAGAAGTGCTTTGCCTCCTTGGTGCTTCACGGAAAGCACTCTCTCTTAATTTAACGCCAACCTACACAAATGCCCTTGAAAGTTCTTGCAATATAAGCCTACTTGCTGATAAATCTGACACTGCCATGGCACTGGGCTCAAAGCAAAATTCATCATGCTTCAGATGTGCATGTATATGTACAATGTATCATTACTGAGTGCTTGGCAGAACCCCATCCACTGTATTATCTGTGGCTACTGGCAGTATTCTGAGTCTCGTACAAGTAACAAGACTTAGTCCACCTACACTGTTGAGCAGTAGCAACTGAACAACACGCATTATTGGCATTGGTGCCTGACTACAGTGTTGTCTGAAGCCAAGGATCATTCTCCAACATACATGTACATGTACACAATAATAATTATTGTTATACTTCTAGCGTGGTAGATCTAAGTAAATTATTAGTTACAAGAGGTAGAATCTACCACAGTCCGGTGTACATGTGCATGTACATGATTGCAAGAACAGTCATAGTATCCAACCTACATGTACATGTACATGTACTTCACCGCATGTTTGAGTTTAGTATCAGCCAAAGAGCTAACGCTAGATCATTACGTGTATCAGTATGGCAAAGGACAGGGAAGGTATCTCACCATGGTCACACGAACACCCATTGGTAGTGCTACTGTGCGAAAAAACGCAACACAACTACCGGTACATGTACATGCAGTATGTACTATTATTTATAATGTAAATACGCGGCGAGGCTGTTTGTTTGAAAAATGTTATAGGAAGAAAATTATAAACTCGGATGTTGAGCCAATAATAATAATATGTAAAGAGAAAAGGACCTATAAGTAATTAGTTACTAGTTATGACTAACAGTCCACCAAGGTAACGAGATAGTACTGTTACGTGTATAGTACTGTATACCGTCAGATAGTGTGACAACAAGGCACAAAGCTGACAAGGATATTGAGACATTCGACGACCTGACACCTAGTCCCTAGCAAACCAACAACCTTTGTGACAGTTCGTCTTCGCTTGGCTCCCCCTCTTTATCTATTTTTACCTACCTTTGAGCCTCCCAAGTTGGGTGGTCGGTTGCCTTGCGTTTTCGAGTTGCAGTTAGACCGGTTTGTCCAGTGGCCATACTTACTAGTCTCGTCATCATCATCCCGTAACGTTCGACGTCTTTGTTGCCGAGGACATACTGTAGCTCGTGCACATCTTCGTGGCGCATCCCTTACCCTTATAGGAACTTTCCGCACCTGAGCTTTCCAAGAAAGCTTGTTGGTTTACGCTTCGTAGATGTGTTGAAACTAGGTGTCAGGTCATCGAATGTCTCAATAATATCCTTGGCAGTTTTGTGTCCTTGTTGCCACACTATCTGGCTGTACATGTACCGGTATATTATCTCGTTACCTTGGTGGGCTGTTAGTCATAAGTACAGTGTAGTAACTTGAAAAAAAGTATGAACAAAGATAATACTTCGAACTAGTTTTCGCACAGCCCTTCTCAGCCCTTCTCAGCCCTTCCCAGGATCCTGGCAAGCAACGTTGTACTAATGAGAAACAATCAAGTAAGGGACTAACAAAGAGAAATGAAGTGAGAATAAACACCTACATGTATTCTTTGAAAAGAATAACAACCTAGCACTATGTTGCTAACAGGTACATACTACAGTGATAATATTTTAGACTGATAAAGTTTATGTTAGCGTCTATACCCAATGCTGTAGACAGCAAGCTGTTTCATAGCGTCTATATGATCATTGATTGTGATAAGCATGTCGGCTCGGAAATGATAGTATGCAGCGCAGCATACTGCAGATTGATTTCGCGATACTTTAGAGCTAGTAGTAATGTGCTGAAATCTCTCACTCTCACTTCGCCCTCTGCACAATCTGTTACACAATGTGTCGATGTGTGTTATGTGTGACGAAAAGCAGCGCTCAAGAAGAGGGAAATGGCACAAACTCGGAGACAGCGCTAGGCCTAGCTTTGTAGGGTGTAGAGTTAGGGTACTAAAATGCCATTAGAACAGACATGTAATGGGTACAACCTGCAGCAACGCTATTCATCCCTTCACAGACATTCCAGACACAATAATTATTGACATTCAGCTGATTTGCTCCTAGGGAGCCTTGTTCTAATTAAGCCGAAATTGAGTAAATTCTAGAATGAATGAACGACATTCACCGGCAATAACTTACCTCTTCTATGTCGGTATTGTGACACATTTCGCAATCATGGTAAACTGTCAAGACTGCGGTACAATTGTACTTTTTGAAGTAGAACTATTCAAGAACTCGCCAACTGGCAACTGGCAACCGGCGCTGAGAGGAGCAGAGCTCTACAGCATTGAGGTGCTGTGAACTGATGGCCGAAGATGCTGACTCTGGAGAAAGAAGAGTAAGTGATGCTCTGTGCTCTACTGCCACTGGGTTCCAGCCATACATTTTGCAGCATTGTTTTCTATTGAAACCCATGGTCGGTGTCATAATGACATGAATGTGTAGCCTATAATAGTATACTGCTGTAGGTTACATATCGACATGAACGTGCATGTGCAAGTGCGTCAAATCCGCATGCACAGGGGAACAGATGTTGGTTAAGTGGGCTGTTTGCGAATTAGAAACTTCAACTGGGAATACGGCTCAAACATGTATGCCACAGGCGTTGGCACTCACGCCGCTATAGCTTACAACGACTAGGAAGCTGGCTAATGAGATTCAGGGAAAGTGTGGTAGTCACAATGCCGGATACTTTCATAATGTCATTGACAAATTCTATCGCGTTTATTGTCCATTTGGTGACGTAATAATACAACAATTAATAACAGAGCAGATTACCGTGACCTCTAAGGCTCTTCCACCAGTACTTATACTGTTTGAAAGAGCTGGTATTCCATAATATCACAGCATTGCCCCCACAGGGTATTTCGAATTGTTTGAAGATGTCCAGAATCGTGATGCAGCTCCCAGAAGAAGAGAACCTGGATTTGAACTAGCCTGCCCTGGAGATAAGGAAAACGTGAAGGCATATACATTTACATTTACACGTATAGTCGTTAAGCATTCAGACGCACATTGCATTCCTCCAGCAGCCCACTCAATCCTGTACAAAATATCCCTGGGTGGAATAGGCCATGATCACTTTGGTTTTTAAATACTAGTACTTGTACTGGAGCAAAACTGTTTACAGTACACTGATTGGGTGCAGTCTCCTCTGTCTCCTCTGTCTCCTCTGTCTCCACACTGGCAGCATGGCTGTAATGTTACAATACCACTGACAATCACCTCACACTTCTCCATCAGCCCATGTACGCGTACATTATACATGTACACGTATGTAGTCTGTGATACGAACATCACAGAAAATTCAAATGCTCATCGTCGATGCCAGGGCTATTTGCAAATGTGTGCACTTCACAGGATGAAAGAAGGAACGCACACACAGATTTGTGCAACGCTTCTCGATCGCTGCCCATGGCATGAAGTACGGCACTGCTACATTGTACATGTACATGTACATGCACAAAATTGTTCACGAAGTAGAATCAGTGTCAATAGAATCCTGCGAGCAGAAAAACCTGCAGAAGTGTGCACCGTGTATACACACACAGGTCGTATTTCAGTACTACACTGTATTGTACATGTACTGTTTTCTAGACAACTACAATCATGTACAAGTACACAGGTCCTGCATGGAATGCTGTTCGATTGTACAACTTAGGAGTGCTATAGACTGTTGAACTATCTAAGATTCGTTCTGTTGAAACCACTCTTGGTGCCAGGCAATTTTTTGATCATTCCAGGAAGAATAATCGTTGCTATTTTAAGAAATGAAATGGACTTAGAGAACTGGACAAATTGATATTCCTGGGGGATAATATTATGCTAAAAAGCTCCCTAGTACGTCACGACATTATACCATTGTATAAATGGAAGGACTTTAGGGGGCTCCAGCACCGTGCAAATGTGAGGACCTTGTAGCGTCTGATTTATGCCTGGTCCCTACAATAAATTATACATGTGTACAATCATGTCCGAATACACATCCTCAAAAGGGTGTGATCGTCAAAAGCACTGTGATGCTCAAGATGAGCGGAAGTGGTGTTTGAGAATGCACAGTGTAGGCTCAAGATGAGCGGAAGTGGTGTTTGAGAATGCACAGTGTAGGCTGATGTTTCTCTACACTGTACTGCAGGATCTTGCAACTGGGGGTGAAAAAGGATAAGAATGAACCAAACATCAATTCGCTCACTGACAAACTGTGTTGCAGCTTTCAGCTCCTCATATAGCTATAGCTTCGAGTCTCATAAAAATAATCTGAGGATTGATAGCACTCATGCACACCTTCCAGGCCCTTTGGGGTTTGCTATGACTGTACTCTGTGACCGTTTTCAAAATAACGATCTGGACTGGTGCCACCCAACCCCCTATTGGACTTGAACGCTACGGATAGTCGGATGCCCATAAACTCGGTGTGTATATACAGGATGTTGTGGACATACATGTACATGTAGTGCATTGTTAAGCTGTGGCCAGTATACATGTACATACATGTAGCTTACAATGCACAATTTAACGTCTATTTTAGTTACAGCAATAGTTATCATAGTCGGTGTTCTAATGTAACAACAAACATGACGATTGTGTGTGATGATAATAATCAAAATAATAATTTTAATGATGATGATGTATTACAGTCACGCATGGGTGCGATGTGACTAAAACAATAGGAATAGTGCAGACAGTTGCAGAAGACTTGACTGTACTGTTTCCCACCGGTTGTGTTCCGCTGAGATTCAGTTGACAGATGTCGACACAGTCACAGACAACGACAGCGTGCAAACCCTACAATCATAGTCATTCCAAGCCCCATGGTCTACTACATGTGGCAATCCAGCAGTGCGCTTGAGAGATGCTATACATACATGTACCACGCATATGTACATGTACGTGTACGTGTAAGTGACGAGTACTCGGAGTAGCGTGTGAACAGGACTCACTGTTTTGACATGCCGGTCCAGCCTTCACTTTGAAAACTCCACCCATTGCTATGTGGGCGGTGTGCTCCACCGGGAATGATGTATCCCTGTGACTTGGACACGACATAATATGGCTGCACCAGATTGTATGTGTTCACTCCG